CAGCCATTCCATTACTAGGTATATACCCTAAAGAACTGAGAGCCATGACAAGAACAGATATATGCACACCCATGTTCACCACAGCACTATTTACAATAGCCAGAAGATGGAAACAACCTAGATGTCCATCAACTGAGGAATGGATAACCAAACTATGGTACATACACACAATGGAATACTATGCAATGCTCAAGAATAATGTAGAATCCGCATAATACTGCCTAACATGGATGAACTTGGAGGACATTATGCTGAGTGAAATTTTACAACTATAATGTCAGAGTTAAGCAGAATGCCAGGCCTGTCTTCTGAGTAAGCAGTAAGTAGTTGAACATGTAACTGTTTACACCATCCCGAGAGTCACTGAATTGACACAGAACTTATTTACGCTTTAATTTTTATAGTCTGTGATACTTAAGATTGTATGTCAACTTAGCTGGGCCATGATTCTAAATGGTTTATCAGTTATGATGTAGTCATCTCCCATGATGAAACTGATATAATGTAATCACCTCCATGATGAGATGTGCTGTGAGCAACCAGCCAGCTGAAAGGGAGTTTCCTCAGGGGTGTGGCCTGCTTTCAGTATATATATATGGACATGCTGGGAAAATTCTCTGGCCTTCTACTGGGTCTTGATCTTGCATCTGACTCATCATCATCTCTGGTTCCTGGACTTTAACCAGTAACCCGTCATACTGCCTGCCAATGTTGGTACTGTCAGTCAACAATCTGCCATTTTTCCTGCCAATCTTGAATTCCTCAGCCTCTGAAGCCAACAGCCTGCTATACAGCCAGCCAATCTTGGGTTTGTCAGTCCTTGCATGAGCATGAGTCAGGAGAAGCCTCCACCTTGACGAGTGACCCACAGACTTAGGACTTGCCAGTTTCTACAACTACATGAGTTATTTCCTTGAGATAAATTTCCACTTCTCTCTCTATATATAATCTTAAGAGATTTTGCTTCTCTAGAGAACCCAGCCTAAAACATAGTTTTTTCTTCAAAGAGTTCAAAATTACTCAATTAAATCATTAAAAACACTAACAAAATTCACAAATATAAAAAAAAATACTTTCTCTGTCTTTGCTGACATAAAAGAAGTCATGCTGTTGTTAGGTGCCATCAAGTTGTCTTCAACCCACAGTGACCCTAGGTACAACAGAACAAAGCAATGCCCAGTCCTGTGCCACCCCCACAGTCACTGCTTCATTGCTATGTTTGAGCCCACTATTTCAGCCACTGTGTCAATCCATTTCATTGAGTATCTTCCTCTTTTTCACTCATCATCTACATTACCAGGCATGGTATCCTTCTCAAGGGACTGGTCCTTCTGATAACATGTCCAAAATACATGAGATGAAGATCCTCATTTCTAAGGAGCATTCTGGCTGTACTTTTCCCAAGACAGATTTGTTTGTTATTCTGGCAGTCCATGCTATATTCAATATTATTCACCAACATCATAATTCAATGGCCTTAATTCCGCTTTGGTCTTCCTTATTCATTGTCCAGCTTTTCATGCATATGAGACAATTCAAAATTCCAGGCATCAGGTCAGATACCTTAGTCTTCAAACTGACATCTCTGCTTCCTAACATTTAAAGAGGGCTTTTGCAGCAGATTTGCTCAATGCAATGTGCTGTTTGTTTTCTTAACACTGCTTCCATGTCTGTTGATTGTGGATCCAAGTAAAATTAAATCCTTGACAACTTCAATCTTTTTCTGTTTATCATGATGTTGTTACTTACTGGTCTAGTTGTGAGATTTTTGTTTTCTTTATGTTAGGTGTAATCCATACTGAAGCCTGTAATTTTTTATCTTTATCAGTAAGTTCTTCAAGTCTTCTTCACTTTCAACAAGCAAGACCGTGCCGTCGCATATTGCAGGTTGTCCAGTCTTCCTTCAATTCTGATGTCATGTTCTTCTTCATATAGTCCAGTTTCTCAGATTATTTGCTTAGCTTACAGACTGAATACATATGGTGAAAGAATACAACCCTGAGGCACTTTTCCTGATTTTAAACAACACAGTAGCAATACCCCCCTGTTCTATTCAAATGACTGCCTCTTGCTCTATGTACAGGCTCCACATGAGCACAGTTAAGTGTTCCAGAAATCCCATTCTTTGAAATGTTATTGATAATTTGTTATGATCCAACACAGCAGAATGGCTTTGCACAGTAAATAAACACAGAAAAACATCTTTCTGGAAATTCACAAATTTCAATAAATGTTTCCTTGATCAATGCAAACATAAAAGCAGCAAAGGCACAGACAAGAGTAAAGGCTATTAAAAAAACAGAAAGGAAAAAGGACAAATGAAAATTCAACAACAAACCCCAGGCTATAAACAGTTAAGGCAAGAAAACCCAAGCAGATTTCAAACATCTAAAAAGGTATGCAACATTAAAGATTTTTCAGTGTTGGTTGAAACTGAGCTAGGTTTTCAAAGGAAAATGAAAGGTATGGTAGGCAGACTAATAGCCCCTCAAATATATCCATGGCTGAATCCCCAAAAACTGTGAATATGTTATGTTACATGGCAAAGAGGAATTAAAATTGCAGGTGGAATTAATCAACTGACCTTAAAATAGAGAGATTATGCTGAATTATCCAGAGGGGTTCAATGTAATCATAAGGGTCCTTAGAAGTGAAAGAGTGAGTCACAGAAAAAGATACAGTGACAGTAGCAGGGTTAGAGAGATGCTACATTACTGTCTTTGAAAATGGAGGAAGGTACCATGAACCAAGGAATGTGGGCACATTCTGAAAGTTGAAAAAAGGAAATGGATGCCCCTTAGAATGTCCAGAGAAACAATGACCTGCCAACACCTTGAATTTAGCCCTGAGATAACATGTGTTAGACTTCTCACCTACAGAAACATAAAATAATGAATTTGTGTTGTTTTAAGTCACCAAGTTTGTGGGTAATTTGTAATGGTATAACAGAAAACAAACATAGGAGGAAAAAGAGAGTTTTTCTGTGTCTGCTGTCAAACAATACAATTGGCAAAAAAAAAAAACAACTCCTTCCCACCCAAAACTTACATGAAATTGGTAGAAAAACAAATATGTATCTGTGGTTCTGCCACAAAAGAGGGGATATTAAAAATCAAAGTCACAGGAATCTTACCAGGGACATAAAAGACCTATACCAAGAAAACTACACAATACTACTACAAGAAACTTTAAAAGACATAAATAAATGGGAGAACATCCCATGCTCATGCGTAAGAAGACTGAATACTGTGAAAATGTCAGGATTACCAAAACCAATCTACAGATTCAATGCAATCCCAACACAAATTCCACCAACATTCTTCAAGGACATGGAAAACTCAATCACTAATTTTATATGAAAAAGAAAGAGAGCACGGATAAGCAGAACACTACTGAAGAAGAACAGTAGCAGGTCTCACACTCCTGGATCTCAGAACTATACAGCTAATAGAAGTTACAACAGCCTGGTATTGGTACAAAAATAGACAGGTAGACGAGTGGAACAGAATTGAGAGTCCAGAAATAGATCCATCCCTCTATGGATGGATAGCTGATCTTTGACAAAGGGCCGAAATCCATTCAATAAGAGATAGTCTCTTTAATAAATAGTGTGGCAAAACTGGATATACATTTGCAGAAAAATGAAAGATCCATACCTCACACCATACACAGAAACAAACTCGAGATGGATCAAAGACCTAAACATAAAACCCGAAACTATAAAGTTCATCAAAGATAAAACAGGAGCAAACTTAAGGGCCCTAATTTATGGTACAAATTATATATAAATATATAAATGTTATATCAAGCACAACTCAAAATGCACAAACAGCAGAAGAGAAATTAGATGATTAGGGCTGTCTGAAAATTAAATTCTTACATGCATCAAAAGACTTCTACAAAGGAGTAAAAAGAAAACCTACAGACTGGGAAAAGTTAACTGGCAGCAACATATCCGACAAGGGACTTATCTCTAAAATTTACAGAAAACTGCAACACCTCAATATCAAAAAAACAAACAATCCAATTACAAAATGGGGAAAGAACATGAACAGACACTTCACCAAAGAAGACAGCCAAAGTCAGACAGCCAAAAAACACATGAAGAAATGCTCGCAATCATTAGCCACTAAAGAGATGCAAATCATACAACAAGATATCACCTCACTCCAGCAATAACAGCAAAGTTCAACGGGGCAGAAAACAACAAATGCTGCCAAGGGTTAGAGAGACTGGAATTCTCATGTGCTGCTGGTGGGAATGTAAAATGGTACAACCAATATGGAAAATGGTAATGGTCCTTCCTTAAAAAGTTGGAAATAGAAAGACCATTTGATCCAGCAATCATACTACTAGTAATATATCCTAAACAGGTGAGACCCAGGATGTTGTTGTTATTAGGTGCTGTCGAGTCATATCC